CATAAGAACTTGTAGAATGGCTGGAGTTGTAGTTTAGTAGTAGAGTGCTTGCCTAGCACATGCAAGGCCCTGGGTTCAATCCTCAGCACCACACAAAAAATAAATAAAATAAAGGTATTGTGTCCAACTACAACTAAAACAAAATATTGAAAAAAAAAAAAGAACCTATAGCGTGAAGTTGTATTGAGGCATTTGAGTGAATAAAGCATTGAAAATGGCACTAGCACATGTACATTCTTTATTTCTTCCCTTAACTGCATATGTCGCACCTTTGCCCATCACGACACACACATGCACACATAAACACACACACACAGAAACCCCCAAATATAATCCCCCACCCTCATACACCATTTTACAAATAAATCCAGTGTTCTCGAATCTAAGAATGTGTTGTGGCATGTTTGAAATAAATCACCGGGTAAGTCTTGGAGCAAGACATGGAACCTGTATTCACTAGTGGGTCAGAAGGACATTAGGCAAGTCATCTCCTTGTAGAAGACCTCGTAGCAACCTTTGGCCCCTTGTAGAAGGTAGGGTACAGTCTTATAGTGAAAAAAAAATCCACCAGTGAGTCAAAACCATAGCAATGAAGGGAGTGGATCAGAATGACCCAGCACAGTCAGGGAACAGTGGAAAACAAATGAGAACTAAAAAGAGAAAAATTGCATTATATAAGACTAACAGAAATATTTTCCAAGGCTGTGCATTTCTAAGCAGAGTATGCTAAGCAAGATCCGGGTGGCTGAGGTGGATTTTCTTATGAGAGAAACATTTCTTATGTGAAATGGAGTGTCAGGGTAAAATGAAGTTTGCCTGGTCAAGGCACATATATTCTGGCCCGTAAAAAATGAACTGTTTCTTCCATTCCAAAGCCTTCCTTTAGAATTTCTTTTTAAGTTGTACATTCTGTGTCAAAGGAATCGCTGAGCCTAGAGCCAGTGGGGTAGGGAGGGAGAGTATGAGAGGAAGATTACCTCTAGATACGGAATAGGGGTGGGAGGGAAAGGGAGGGAGAAGGGGAATAGCAAGGATGGTGGAAGGAGATGGTCATTATTATAAAAAATACACGTATGAAGATGTGAATTTGGTGCCAACATACCTTATATACAAACAGGCATATTATAAATTGTGGTATAAAAGTGTATTAAGTATTGTAATGCAAAAAATAATGAGAGAGTTCATGTATAATGGCATAATTTGGCATTAACATACTTTATATAATAAAGAGTTATAAAAATTGTGCTGTGAATAGATAATTATAAATGTCAAGTAAAATTGGAAAGCTTTTATTTAAAATTAGCATAAGTAAATAAGCATTAGAGAAATTTCATTTCTATGCTGAATTGATCAATGCAAGAACATATTGTATAGAAGAATTGAAATTTCAAAGAGATCCTGAAAGTAATAATCCCGGAGAAATAAAAAATCCAGAGATAATAAGAATTTTCAAACACTTTGAAATTGATGGAGCTCAAAGAGCCACAAGGAAGCATGTGATGTCTGTGTTCCAGGAGAAAAGAATATTGAATAGACTGAGGTCTTCTCTGACAGGGTGAGCAAGTGGAGTTTGAAGGAAAGATCTAGAAGGCCCAGGAAGGGTGGAGGACATGTTGGCTGGAGGGCAGGGCAGAGGTGTGGTGCTGATTCCTCTTCTTGTCCTTCCCTGAATGACAGGATTCCTTTGTGGTGAGAGGGCACAGCTCTGTGACATAGGCCTGGGCCCTATTCTCCATTGCTGAAGAGACTTTCAGGACTCATTTGTCCAAGTGACACAGTGCAATTTAGATGATGGAGAATCCTCTCTTTCCTCTAAATAGTGTTAATCCCGCATGGCTGAACCCCAACTTCATCACCTGGGCAATGGATATGATGCTTGCCTTTGCATGTGGACGGGAGCTCATTCTCCTTTTATTGCCCTGCCTCCAGAATAATTCATCCTTTCCACCACAATCCTTTGTGCAGGTGAAAGTAAATTAGAGTGAGTCAGTTTTATGTCTGCTGGTTCATCTTGCTCCCAAGTGCTTTTACTGAGCACCCACTTCATCATTTTTCCAACCTAAAAACTCAGTAATTTTGAGTTCAAGACTTGTCCACAATAAAACAAAAATGCAGTCCTCTATGCCATTTTGATGGTTGATTACTAAAATCATACAAAATAAAACATTTATCTCATCAGGAATTTGGGTATAGCTCAGTGGTAGAACATTTGCATAATATGAGAAGTTTCCATCTGACTGTAAATTCTGGTGCACTTCTCTAGGAAAGACAATCAGGCCAGTGACAGGGACACCCTCCAGAGTCCCCATCAGAGACCTCCATAGAGCCACCAACAAAGATTAACACTGAGACTTCCAGAGACTTCACAAATCCCTCATGCTGAGACCTCCAGAGACATACAAGACCTCCATAGACACTCCTACTGAGTTCCATTCCCATCACCACCAAAATATTTTGTTATCTTTGATGAGATGTTGGCAGAAGTTTACTCATTTTTGAAGTTTGTGATTCCTTAAATTTGGGGTCAGTACTCAAGCTAATGAAAAATTAGGAAAGAATTTACAGATCTTTAGGAAAGGATTTTACAGATTTGCATGTGGAAACTGTAACACTTTTTTAGAAGAAAAATGACATTATTCAAATACACAAATATGTGGGCATTCCAAGGAGCTAGATTCAGCTGAAGATCTCCTTCCTGTATTTCCACTTTGGTAAGGTGCACTGCAAAAGACCTATTCTTGTGTGGCTGCACAGGCTCCTAAGAATGGATATGAGTTCTCTGTGGGAGGTCTGTCTTCTCAGTGTGTTGTCTCTGTCTGAGGTTTCTCTCCAAGTGTCTTTGAGAAATTGTTCTTGATGTGGGTCTGTGTTGGAAATCTCTTTGAGGATCTCATTTGTAGTCTATGAATATCTCTTAGTTGGAGGGATTTGGGGGGCTTCTTTTGGGACCTCTCTGTTGGTTTCAGTGACAGTATCTATGGAGGTCTCTGTGGGAATCTCTGAAGATATTGTGGAGTCTCTGGAGGTCTCAGTGTGGATCTGTGCAGAGGTCTCCAGGCAGTCTTTGTGTGGTCTCCCTCTCACTGACATTACTGCCCTTCATAGAGCAACACCACCAGTAGTCACAGGATTTGATCTTTGCTGTTTCAGGCTGGTTCATCCACGTGGCCCTCTGTACTACTCATCCTTTCAGGAGACACAGGACCTGGTTCAGCAGAGAACTTTGCAATCCATACCCCAACTTACCTCCTAGTCCCACATTCAGAATCCTGACATGTGTGGAGACTGGACCTATGAGTGTATTCTGTTCCTTGGTGGCACTTCCTGGCACAGGCATCTCCACCATGGAATAAATAAGACCACTATGGTGAAGCCCATTGCCCACCCCACATAGGCATATGGAATAGTATGGAATGGCCCAGGGAAATGATAACTCCTCTCACTGTTTTACAGCCATCATGGTTTTCTGTGTGGATGACCCCTGAAAGAGGAAACCTCTACTAGAAGAAGATTGAGGCCCAGCAGAAACCAATATTTATCGCCTTCCAGTCTAGTCAACTCCCACATTTTGGACAGGTCACTTTCATTTGTATATACAAATTCTGTCAAATCATCTCTTCACCCATTTGTCTTTGGACAAGCAAATTCTAGAAGCCTGGAGAAAACTGCTTTGAAACCCTATGCCAGGTCCTCGACCCTTTTAGATACCCAATTTGTCCATGGAAGCAGTGCTAAGGCCATTTGCATGTGTCAAGGTCCCTAGACTGAGTCTTAGCCAGAGTTCCCTAGTCCTGGATACTCCACCAAATGTCAGGTCATCTGTTCTGGAATTTAAGAGGCAAAGATTGACAGAAGCAGACTTACTAAATTTTCTCTTAGGAATTTAACCTTCCTTGCTTGAAGGCTTTTGCTTTCTCTCTAGTGTGTGTTAGAGCTAAAGATCTTTCTCCAGTCCTGCAGTCTGGGAAACTACAACAGGCTGACCTTGGTATTGGTCCAGGCTGAACCAGTGAAAACCTCAGCCCATCTGGTCTCCTCATGCTAGCCTGGCAGTTAGCATGGGAAGGCAGTGGCTTCTTGTCCATGGCACTCTATATGGCATCAAATTCCACTTTTCTTCCTGTCTTGGCTCTAAACATCAATTCTTCTACACATTCCACTCTAGATCTACTATGTACTACCATCAGTTGGTTAGTATATGCACAGTCCCTTCTAGAGGAGAAGACAGGTGACCATGGGCAGGGGGCATGCAGCACTCAGCAGCACTTTGTGGCCCCACCTAGATGCAGAGCTGCAAGTTCTATCTTGGCTGCTGCTATAGAAAATGGTGGAAGCAGATGTGGAGTTAAGTGACACTTCCATGTAATTAAGGCTGAGCTAAGAGGGATTGACAGGTCCCAGCTACATTCCAAACACTATCAGGGAGAGAAGGGGCTTCCCCATCAAACACACTTCTTTTCTCACTAGAAAATCTAAGAAGCAAGGTTTTCCCGGCTCTAAGACCAACACACTAATTTCCCCCCAACATTCCCATGCCTACTTTGTAATATGTGAAGCTACTAGAATCTGTCACTTTTATACACCCATTCCCCAAAGCTGTATAAAGTTCCAGAAAGAAGGAAAGCAAGGAAAAGACTGATGGAGTCAGACTGTGGAGTGGGGTCTTCACAGGATTGCCTCATCCTGAGAAGGCTCAAGGCATTCTCTTGTTTGTTTTTGTGATGACTGAATGAGGAATCCTTCAGTTACAATGAGATAATTTGAGATATGAGGGTTGTTCCTCTGAATGTCCTGTCCCTTCTAGAAGCCACTCTGAGGAAGAGCAGACACCAACCCCCTTCATACCCCACAGGAGGACACAGACAAAAATCAATATATCTGATGAGAAAAGGAAAAAAAAAAAATTATTGGGAAGCAATTGAAATCCCAAAAGGGAAGAAGACATTCGTCATTAGAGAATGGGTTCGCATGATGACAAAACGTTTCCCCCCTCCATGAATTCAATATTTCCTGAAAGGTTTTTCACCAGGAAACTCATGGTAAACAAGACCTGGTTGACCATGCACATCACCATTTTGAAAAAAACATGTTGGGTAATGGTGAAGGTGGCTCAAAGTGCTCACCCCAATTGGTCTTAGCTGGAAGGGGGTGGCTTGAGGCTCAATATTCCTAGACTTGAAGGTCCAATTATTGTCTCTGATCCACTTGTTCTTGGGGCTGTGGACATTGGGGCTGGCTTGGGGACCAGAGGCAATCTCTCTAAACATTTGTCTTTTATCTGGGTATGAAGAACCCCTAGGTTGACAGAATTGCCTACCCAATAGGGTCGGGGGTTCCTCTTTATGCCCATATACCTCTGTTGGACCACTTCTACGTTCAAGTCCCAGCTTATCCATCAGGATCTGTCCTACAACTGTTATGAGGGCCTTGGGTTCAACCACTACACTCTCTTTGGATATTTGTCTTTTGGCTAATTTCTGGGTATGGGTGGTAGCTGTCAGGGGGTTGACTTTATTCAGGGAATTTTCCTTCCCTTTTCCTTTTTGATGATTGTTAAAAGACTCCATAAAGTCCCTCATTTTGATATTACTATAGCTTACTGGAGGATTCTGTCCCTTTTCTGGAAGGCAAGGGAAGGACTTGCTTAAAGTAGTGTTTATTTCCTGGACTTTGTCAGAAGGGCTCAACCCACTGTCTTGGGAAATTTCTTCCTCCTCTTTTGGTATGGACCTCCCAAAGCTCTCTTGGCTTTCATTTATACAAATCCTTTCAGTGTCTTCCTTTCCAGGAACCTCAACATTTGTGACTTTGGATTCTTCCTGCTCCTGGCTGCTCCCTGCCTTCATGTCATCATCACATAGAGCTTGGGAAATTGACTTGTGAATCTTGAAAAAGCTCTTGGAGTTGGACAGGGACACTTGAGATGGTAAAATATCTGTGGTGGAGAGCTCATTAGTGTGGCAGTCTTGCAGCACTCCAGTGACCATGTCTTGGGGTTGCTCCTCTGACTCAAACTCCACTTTGAGCTGAACAACATTACCTATATTTTCTTTCAGGATTTGGTCTCCTGAATCTTGTGAAATAGAAATTCTAGAAGGAGAGGGGCTATTCATGTTTCCAAGAGACCCTATGTTCTTCACATTCACATTGATGGTTTCAGAGTTTGCCATCACAGAGGCTCCCACTGTCACTTCCCATTCACACGATTTCTTCTCCACATCTAGCTCCTTGGTCTTTCCAGCTGTTGATGATTGGGTCCCTACTTTAACTTCCAGCATTGTCACACCAGAACATGGGTCTCCTGAGGCCACATCCTTAGTCTCTTTCTGTGTCTCAATCCTGGTCATATCGAGGCTTGGATTGGGCTCCAGGCTAGCTTTTCCAATCCTCCTTATAACTCTACTTTGTTGGTTTATGTGCAGATGGCTATAGGTTCGAGAAGGCATACAGGCATCTGAGGTCCTCTGACTGCCACCCAGTGGGGTTCCTTGCATGGTTCTCTGTACCTCTGAAGGTGAGGGTGCAGGAAGAGGATTCTGTAAAGTGGGAAATGAAATTTTTCTTATTACCCTCTTTCCCACACTTTTCTGAGGAAGTTCTTCCAGGAGACTGCCAATTTTGGCAATGGAAATGGCTCTGTAGTCACTGGAGGCTGAGGAGGAAATAGCAGACTGTGGAAGGGGTGAGGTTTGAGCCTCACCTAAGTTGCAATTAATGGTATCAAGAGCCTGGAGTGATGGATTCCACCTGTGCCTCACCCGAGACCTCATAATATCTTCAGGTGAGTTCCAGGGTCAAGGAAGGAAAGCTGCTTAACAGTGTTTACATAGGATTGCTGGTACTTGGAGGAAGCTAGAGAGATGGGTTTTGTGTACTTTGGAAGAGTACAGTAGGCAGCAAGCCAGGATCCACGCACACACACAGGGAACATATCCTCCTTGATCTGCACTAACTTTCTGCTCAGATGGTCTTGCAGGATTTTTTCCACAATTTTCTTTTCTAGGCCTGTAGATAAGTCACTTTGTGAAATACCCTTCCTAGTCCTCCTCAAATAACTTTCTGAAACCTCCTTCTTATCATTCTGAGCCTTCCCTGAGGTGCTTCCTGAGCTCCAGGATAAATCTACTGGCTCCTTCTGGAGTTCTGGTTCTAGACCCTTGTTTGAGAAATCTAGTTTGAATGTTACAGAGCCCATTGTAGAGAGTCTTTCAGAGTGTTTAGTCTCCATCTTCTGCAAATCATTACCAGCAAGTGCTGACTGGCTGGGCTGCTCCATCTTCTGCAGATCATTGTCAGTAAGTGCTGACTGGCTAGGCTGCGAAGAGCCAGGCTTGTTATTTTTCTGGCACTGACTCTTCCCTGGAAATTTATCCTGAGGATGCATTTGTTCCTGAGATGCTAGAAATCTACAGTGAATGTCTAGCTGTGGTTGATCACTGATTAACTCCCCTTGAATATGTTGCTGGAGTCTGTTCTCTAGCTCCTGGCTGGCAGAATCCCCAGCAACTATAGAGACAGAGTTAGAAATTTGGGAGGCCCGGCTTCCCTGGGGAAGGTTGAGAGCTGGCTGGTTAATGACTTCCAGAGTCTTTTTGATCTCAGAGAATAAGACCTTCTTCCATTTCCTTCGGTTCTGTAGGGGACATTCTGAATGTTGATCTTCAGTTGGGAGGAAAGACTGTACCTCCTTTTCAGATTTAGTGCTAGTTGTGCCAGACTTAATCTGGGATGAAGAAGGTGGTATGTTTGGAAAAGTGTATGAAGTGCTAGCCAGAGTCTGACCCAGAGCCACAGATGGGGACAAGTTTTGTGTCAAAAGTTGGGATTGGGCCTCTTCCTGGGCCAAGGGCTCCTCCTGGGAAAGCTGTGGAGGTTCTTCATCCTGATATTGTACTGAGAGAGATTCTGAGACTTTGTTGAATGCTACATGTTTACACTGTGCAGTAGAGGACCTCTTAGAGACCCAGGCAGTAGCCACCAGGGACTCACTGTGCAGAGAGGGCAGACCCCAGAAGAGTTGGCTGTATTTTTTCTCTAAAGGCCCCCCCAAGACCTTGTTGTAAAAGAAATTCTGAGAATCATGAAGCTTCTCTGGTTTTTCTTTTGTGTTCCAGAAGGTTTGTGCAGTGGTGTCTCTCTTGCTACCCAGTGACTCCAACATGTTTCCCAGAGAATACAGGGTGTAATCTGGACTCATTTGTTTGAAAGAGGACCCGTTTTTAGAATTTTTCTTCCATACTTTTAGTTCCACTCTTTTGGTGATCAGCATTTCCAGCAGCATCTGTACATCAGAGTTGATGAAAGAGAGGCCTCCAGACTCTACCTGCCAACATGTGGTGTCTACCCAGAGTGTGAAATCTGAAGGATGGTGGAAAAGATGTTCTTGCTTGGATTTGTTTACCCAGGTAGAGAAAAATAAGAGCTTTGCAGTTTCCCACCACCAGGAGAGGAATGAAATTGAATAGCTTATGCAGTCTACGCCTGAGTTGGCTGTGATCAGGGATGCCCAGTATGAGTGACCTACAAGGGAGCTCTGTGGAACAATGTCCAGTGAGATTCTATTCAAGTCAGACTTGTGTTCATGTTCTTCCGATAAGGATGAGGCCAGAGGCAGAGTGTGTTTTGTCAGAGGAGCTAGAGAACCTAATGGGGGTAAGATGGTAGAAGGATCTCCCAAATGTTGATGAGGTAGCTTTTGAACTTCAGTAGGCTCTTGCATGAACACCTCACCTGCAACATCTTCAGATACCAGTAGAGGAGCACTGTCCTTGTCCCAGAGCTTCCCTAGGAGACTGCAGGAGACAAGAGGCACAAGCTAGAGCCAGGAGCAGGAAGGACCAAGAGGCTGAGCGGGGGTGAAAACCTATGGCCTATGGACCCTCGACTGCCCCACACACTGTCTTCACCAAACTCTTCCTATTCCTACCACCAGGACTTCAGTCACATTCCACTATGACCTGGAGTATTCCTACTAAATCAGCCTTGAACCTCAGTGATCACATAACAGATCTTGATGGGAAAAACACTGGAGAACTGGAAAGTTCCTCACCTTTGCAGGAGTAAAATCAGATTCTGACTCTCCATCAGATTCTTCAGGCGATTGCCTGAAGCTGAAAATGGAAAATGAATTGGGTAGAGAAGGGAGGATCCCAGATTTTACAGGATGTTAAGTGCAATGCCCCCTTGGGGGAGATCATGAGAGATGAGACTGGAGGCTAAGCCTCAGTGTCCAAGTCCAAATGACCAGTGAGGGTCATATAAAGACTCTGGGAAGAGCCACATTTTATCATTTGCAGGGTGTTTTTACCTCCATCCACCTCCATGATCCTCACAAGCACCTTATCGTGGGAAAGGATTGGTTACCTCAAAGAGAAATTGGCCTTAACAAAATGAAACAGCTTGACCTCAGTTGTACCTGAAAGTCCCACCTCCATATCTAGGCACTGCTGCTCTAGTGCCACCAACACCACCCTACTGGACATCACACACCTCTCATCCACCACACCTTCTAAGAACAGAATCTGAGAAGTGTCTCTGGTATGATGATTTACTTTCCAGCATCTTCCCTCTCAGGTCTCTGCAACCAACATCCTCTGGGGCACTGATCTGGACCCTTGGAGAAAGGGGACAGCAACCACCTCTGGGGTAAATGGGCAGGGACTTACCTTTCAGAGTTCCACTCTTTTTCCTGTTCCTGTACAGCACCTTCTTCACCTTCACACGCTGACAGACAATATAGAAAAAGAGGCTGAGGCCCAGTTCTCCCTGTGATCTCCTAGACCAGCTGTAGACATTCCATGTTTCTGAACAGCAGAACTTCTACAGTTACCTAGTGGAAACCCTTTTATTCAGAGAACATTATTAAAGAGGCAAAATACTTTATTTTTTTTTTCCTTTGGAAAGCAGAAAAGGGGATTTTTCTGAATAAACTACACCATTAATGTTGTCAGTGACTGATCTTCTGCTTAAAAATATACTCATTTCCACAGGCTCTTCTCAGCTGCCAGGCATGGTTCTGTTTCCTAAGGCCAGAGGTGACCTGAGAGCCTGTGATGGAGGCCCTCAGGCCCACATCAGCCCAATACAGAGACACTTACCAGGAGAAGGTGACTGATGGAGCAGTGCTCAGGGCCTGTCCTTCTCTAGAGGTACCCAGCACTCTCAGGAGTCCAGACCTCTCTATATGGTCTGAGACATTCAGATAGGAGAAATCCTAGTGCACTCTCTCTCCCTGCCCTGCCCTGCCTACCCCAGAATGATTCTCTATTCTGTCCTGAAATTTCTCTTTTGTGAAGTGTGTCTACCTATTTTGGAAAAGTGGAAAGTAGACAAAAGAGAATCGTTTTTGTTGTTGTTGGGTGTGACCTGAGGGTTCTTACCTTCCTGAGTTTTCCTTTTTCCCTTGGTTGTGGGAAGGATGGATTACCTTGGAGGCGGAGCAATAAAAAGAGAAAGATTCCCAGTCCACATGCAAAGGCCAGGATCATATCCATTGCCCAGGTGGTGAAGCTGGGATTCAGCCATGCGGCATTAACATTATTTAGAGGAAAGAGAGGATTCTCCCTCATCTGAATTTCACTGTGTCACTTGGACAAATGAGTCCTGAGAGTTCTCTTCAGGAATGGGGAATGGGACCCAGGCCTATGTCACAGAGCTGTGCCTTCTCATCACAAAGGAATCCTGTCATTGGGGAATAGGCAAGAAGAGGAGGCAGCACCACACCCCTGCCCCACCCTCCAGCCAGCATGTCCTCTGTCTTTCTGAGCTTTCTAGATCTTTACTTCCAACTCCAGTTGCTCACCCTGTCAGAGAAGACCTCAGTCTATTCAATATTCTTTTCTCCTGGAAACCACACATCACCTGCTTCCTTGTAGGCCTCTGAGATCCATCAATTTCATAGCTTTTGAAAATTTTTATTACCCCTGGAATTTTTATTTCTCTGGGATTATTACTTTCAGGATCTCTTCTCTTTGAAATTTCAACTCTTCCATACAATATGTTCTTGCCTTGATCAGTTCAGCAAAGAAGTGAAATTTCTCTTGTGCTTATTTACCTATGCTAATTTTAAATAAAATTTTTCCAATTTTATTTTATTCTCTTCATCTAGAGGGTTTAGACAAAAAAAAAAACAAAAAAAAAAAAAAAAAAACCAAATTGATACATTATTATTACAACCTTACAAAACTTAAGTATAAAAACTGAAATAACCCTCAAGAGACATTTTTGTATGTTTCTAGTATTTTTGTTTATAAAATTAGTGTAAGTTAAACTTTAAGAGAAATTTTGGGAACATGTCTATACACACAGTGTGAGGATGGCCTTAGCTTAAGCAACTCCATTTTAAAACTCTTTGTTAAAATAAAACTGGAGTCCCTACCAGACAAGTTTACAGAGCCCTCTAATATTGTCATGAGGCATGGCCTGAAAAAATAAGTCACTTCCCACAACCCTGATAAAACTCAGAGTGAAGTCACTGTCATTTGCCTTTGTCTGATAAGAGTCACAGGTGAGAGATCAGGGCAGAAACCACCAGACCAGATGTCCTGACCCCAGAGTGAAAGACATCACTAAGAAACCCAGTCATATGTGACAGGGACTGAAAGAACAAGCAGAAACCCCAAAATTTAATATAAATGATGTAGCAAATGAAGAGACATTCAACCAAGCCACACTGATGCCCCATCCTGGAGAGCCTGATGAGGACACATGGACTGACATCCCAACTCTTTTCATTATCTACCTGATCTTCTGTATCCTCCTCACCATTCTCCAACTCCACAGCCACATCTTGATCCTGATGAGAACAAGGACTTCTCCTTATCACTATCTCCTCAACCACTCATCAGCTCCATGCCATGATGAATGAAGCCTCCATGGATTCCTGACCTGATCACTAGAGTCTGAGTGAGTGTGCATCTGGTGGACTTAAGGCCCAAGACTTGAGACTCTAGATCTGGCACTTAAGCTTAGCAAGCAGAGGGAATGTCTGTAATAAATCTTTCATGATTAAGTATGTTTACAGTGCTTAGAATTGACTTGGAATTGTTTGTTTTGAATTGATTATGTCTATTGCAGTGGCCAGAATTAAAGATTGTCATTTTCTTTATTAAGAACCTGTAGAAGGGCAAGAGTTGTTGCTCTGTGGTGGAGGGCTCACGTAGCACGTTTGAGGTACTGGGTTCAATCCTCAGCACCACATAAAAATAAAATACAATAATGGTATTGTATCCAAGTACAACTAAAATTAAATACTGAAAGACAAAATAACCTATAAAGTGAAATTATATTGAGATATTTGAGTGAATAAAGCATTGAAAATAGCATAGTGCATGTACATTTTTTTATTTCTCCTCTCAACTGCATGTGTCGCACCTATGCCCATCACCCCCCCCCACACACACACACACAAATATATCCATCTTCCCCCCACATACCCTTTTATAAAGGGGAAGCATTGAAACAAGATGACTCTGTTTTATATCAAATTTGGTAAGTTTTCAGCCCTCATTTCTATAAGTATTTTTTATATCCCTTCTCTTTTTCTAAGGAGTAACTTATGTATAGAAGTAAAAGCTCTGCTATGCTCAGGTCTCAGGCTTTGGAAATAATCCCTCTGAGCAGCTGGTGCAATTAATAAACTGTTGATTTCATATCTCAGTTTCCTGACCCTCATTTCCCACTAAAATAATGCCAAACTTAAAATTGTTCCTATCAAATTGTTAGATGAAAAAATCAACAGAACTTTATATGTACTTTGTGAGAATAACTTGAAAGAGCAGTACTGTAACAGTACCTACAGGCAGCTTCAATTGATGATGTACTTTAATTATCAATGTGCTCCTTGAAATTAGTCCCTAGATGAACTATTATGATCCATGAGTTCATTTCAGATCATGTGGGCAAGTTCTCAGTCTTTAGGCACATGTGCCATTTGTACTGCTGTTCATTTTAAATGGAAATGGCAATTGCAGTGCATTTCCACTGGAAGTTTCACAATTAGTTTTCAACCGGGCTTTAGAGAATTCACTTTCATTACTTTACAATTTCCACATTTCTCCTATGTGCACATAGGTATCTGTGGTCACTAAGTACAATATTATCTCTATTAAAAACCCCTCATAAAAGTGCCATAGAATTGGAATTGTCTGCGTTTCCATAGCAGTTTTAAACTGAAATTTCAGGAGTTTCCCAGAACAGCCTCCAACTCAAAACACACAATTCACATCTTTTCCACTAGTCCATCAAGGTTGAATATCTCCTTTCTGAAAGCAACTTAAAAGAGAAAATATGAAATAGTATGTACAGGTAGCTTCTGCATGCAGGATGAAAATTAATTCATTTTATAGATTAATTGACTTGTATTACAAATGTACCTAATTGCTTGGATTCATAAAGTTTAAAATCAATACCCTATTTCCTGTATTGCTATACAAAGTAAAGTTTTGTGTTTTTTTTTTACAAATTAAATATTTAAATTTTGACAAAAATATTAAAATTATATGCAAAACAGTTATAAAAATGTTTAGTCTCTCTTCCAAAAAAGAGGTAATCTTTCCAGGATATTATACAATATTAATAGCATTCAGCATTAGTGTACAAAAGTCTTTAAAGTAACAAAGTTTATTTTTATGTGCTCCAGTTAAGTATGAATGCCATCTGATTACAATATAGTCAACTATCTTTAAAGAGTCAATTTTCAGCAACAGGGATAGGGTGGGGGACAAAGTAAATTTTTAGTGGCTTCGTGGTGATCTCTATTGATGAGGGTCTTCTGCATGGCAAGTGACATGAACCCCATCAAACAGGTTTAAAAAAAGTTTTCTTCTCTGGTTCATGCACCTGTTAAGTTCACAGGTGTCTTTTCCAGCAATGGCCCTATCCCACCCAGATAACCCTGGGACCTAAGCAGGATAACTATCAGTCTCTTAGGCACAGGGTCACTCTCAGGTCAACTCTGAAAGAAAGCATGTTTCTCATTCCCTTATGAGTTCCTCCTGACATCCACACATTTCTCTGAGTCACTGTCTATGGGCTCTCACAAGCCTGGTGCTGGGACTGAAGTCAGATGTCTGCATCACAGGATGCAGCTCACAGGTAGAGAAGAGACCCACAGGCCAACATTAGGTGCTGGCTAGAGAGGTGCTGGCAGCCAGACATTTTCACTTCTCCTGGGCAGTTGCAACTGTTGTAGGGACAAACGAGGCAAGGCACCGAAGATAGCAGGAAACAGTTTTATTTGGCTGCAGCCAGGTTCAGAGGGTACAGCCTTTGCTGTAATCAACCAATCCCCTCAACGCCGAGTTCAGGGAGTTTCAGAGTTTTATACCCAGTGTGTAAGGGGAGGGGCTCAGAAGTTCACAGTCTGCAGAAGTTCACATAAAAGCAGCTTTTTCTTTCACTGTTCTGGGCAAGTTAACTCTTCAAGGACAACACCTGAGAAGGGGAGAGCATCATCTCCCCTTTCTTTCCTCCCCCTGCCAGCTGTTACCATGGGCCCATTTGTAACTTATCTTAAAAATGTAGACATCTCTGTGAAGCCCAGCTCAAGGCCAGAGGCCTTGTTTGCACATTTCTTCAAAGTACTATACTGGATACCTTTGTGAAAACTAGTAAAGGGGTGTCCAGCACCTGGAGTGCTAGTATCTTCTCGGCCAGTGGCCAAGTAAACAGGGTGACACGAAAATAGGAAGTTTATCTACAATGGACTCTTTTGCTGACAGTCCTAAAATTAGCCATGGTGAAGAGGGCTTTTCTATGGAGAAAGGGGGTGCCACTTCACAACCACTAGAAGTGCCTGGAACATCCCCTTCTTGACCCTGCAGAACACTGCCAGTAAAAGAATGAAGGAAAAACTCAGCATTGCACTCCAGGCAGTGGGTGTCCTTTAAGTACAATTCACATCTTCACACTTGATCTTTCTCAGAGCCTTCCATAGCTCACTATTGCAGCTGAAATATCGCAGCCACCTGATTACAAAAGATGCATGCAGGGAAATGACTGGTACAGTCTGGACTCCTCTTGTTACATTTGAGGCTAAGTCAGCATCAGGTGCCAATAAAAGTTGACTCAGTCAGACTTAGAGGAGGCAGCAATGCCAGACCCAGAAGTAGACAGCAAGTGTGAAGCTATGTCCAGACTATGGACAAACTGCCAAAGCATTTCAAGGAGATTCTAGTGCCCAAAAGCAGAAATGGTGCATATGGGAACATTTTCACAGTTGGAACCTGTGGTGCTTGCTAGCACAGGGCACAGCCAGGAAAAGGTAGAGTAATTGGGGTATACATAGAGAAAAATGTATGGAATAGGGTCTTAGAGCTGATTTTCAGCAACAGTGATAGGGTGGGGGACAAAGTAAATTTTTAGTGGCTTTGTGGGGTTAAAATTCCAGCACAGTTGGTCTTATTAAGCACCTTGGGCCTTGTTTTGTTATCTGTCAGGTGAGGCTTTTGCAGGGGCTGTTCCCTCTACTATTAGTTTTCTTCCTGGCTGCAGCTTTGAGGCCACCGGCTCAAGCAGGCCCCTCC